CGTTGTAGATGCTATTAACATTCTAAAGGAAATGAAAGAGAAGGATGTTCTTATCAAAGATACAACAGTCTTGTCCTTTTTTCACATCCTAAATGGCGCAGCTTTAAGAGGTGAAACTGAAACAGTAAAACAGTTACATGAAGCCATCATAACTCTGGGGTTAATGAAACCAACCATCAACATATGTTCCCCATTGGTCACTCTATATCTGGAAAAGTAAGTTAATTGAATTTTGAATTTTATATGTTGGCATTAAAAGAAGGAGTCTAATCATTTGGGGATTATCACTACTGTTGTCACTACTCTGTGGTGCCATGGAAGCCTTGAAGGCTATTTGCCAAGAATAAGAGGACTTATATGGACGAGGTGACCTTTCAAAGCACCAGCAGCTCTGAGGTCCTGTGGATTACTTCTTGATGGGATGGTCTATGGTGAATTTTTGTAAGGCACGTGATGATATTGCATGAAATCTAATTTTTTCCAGTTTTGAGCCTTACAAGTGTTAATTATTAATAAGTGTAAGAAAGAAGGATTCCCTAGGGTTTTTGATTATGCATCATGACTGTTAATCAGGTAACAGTGTAGCAGCATTTCTTCAGTGTTCCTTTTCTCTATCTAGTGTTTTAACTGCTTGTACCAATATAATTTTTCTATTGTAGAAGTTGTCTCTGTGCCTTGTGAGATGAATTTTTTTGATAGGGCAAGGTTTACTCAGTTTAAAATTGTTCTATTTGAAATGCCCGTATTAGTGTCCAATTTAAAGTATTATTTGCAATGCAAATCATGAAATCAACCTACTCTCTTGTAATGAGTGAAACATTTTAGTAAGATGATTAAGTACCCTTTATTATCTTTTCCTTTTGTGTGTATTTGTTTTTTTAATTTCCTAGATCTTAACTCTTTTGTCATCTTTTCCATGGCGTAATGCAGGTTTTAATCTACTTATTTCCTGATTGGGGCTTTCTGATTTTAGTTTGGATGTTGTCCTATCAATGCCAGGAGGAAAAGGAAAGATACATCTTAATGTTCTTATATTTTTCCCAATTTTTGGTAATTTTTCTTTATTTATTAGTCGGTATAATAAATAAAATGAGTGTTTTAGTATTGAATTTAAAATGTAGAATAAAAAATATCTTTATGTTAGGCAATGTGTATATAAATATATATGTATACACATATACATGCACATACATGTTTTATGAAATAATTCCTTTGCCATGCTATTGAAAAACAGTTTGTCAAGTTAGATGATTGGCCAAATCTTAACCTTCACAGTCTCAGCATTGCATCCTTTTAAAGAAATAGTGATTCAAACAGTTACTGTGTTATTGAGTTCTCAGGTTCACAGCCAACTTTATATAGAAATCCTATAATTAATATGCTTCCTACTAGAATTTTTTGATTGTTTAAAAAAGACCCATCTCTGCAAATTGCATGTGGAGCTCTACATAGGGATTTGAAAGAATGGGCCCAGTGCCCAGAAAATTAGGCCCTCCTCCACTATTGAGCAAAAATAAAATAATTAACAATAAAAATGAGGCCATGGTAGAAAAGTATCTTACAAATAGAAATACTTTGAAGACAGAGGAGACATAAAAGTTTTCCAAAACAGGTCTGCAGATGGGGCTCATGAACCAAGAAGAGCTTACCCAAGGAATATGGAAATACCATGGGTTTCAGCCTTAGACTGGGGCTTCTCTGTGCTTTTGATTATACAGTACAGCCAGAGAATTGCATGTCTCAGTAAAATTTGACTGTCCCTGTTAATTGGACTAGAGAAATCTAAATTAGCGTATTTTCTTTAACAATTTCTTACTTTTTTCACATACATGGAGAAATTATTACCTTTTGTTTTTATTTGCCTAGGGTCTGGGTTTTTTTTTGTTTTTTGTTATCTTTGCTTTGCAGAGATAGTCTCCATGACAAGACCTTTCACATTCATCTATCATAATTTAAAAGGTTTTTATGATTGTTTTAGGGTCACGAGGACAATAAAAAGGATACAGAGGAAATTTCATGTTTATAAATTGCACAAAACAGTAGCAGCTCTCCTAGTTGGGGATAAGTTAAAGGAAAAAATTGACTTTGAAACTTTTTTCCAATTGTGTTTTCCCCAACCGATGGATGTTATAAGCTAATTCAGAATCTTGACAAGTGCAATACTAGGATTAACTAGTCTGCCAAAAAGTCCACATGTATTTGATTTGATTAAATATGTTTAATCTTCAGTAATATAATGTAATTGACCTTACCAGTTAGGAACTCAACTGGGGAATGAGCCTTAGTTATTCAAACTTGAGATAAAATTACGAAAACATTCCAGAACATTGTATAAAATCTTCATCTTTTCATTCAAAGGCAGCATTTTTTGGGGAATGTCATTGCAATGAATCTAGAGAGGCTATTACTTACATATTGTAATTCTGCAACAAAATCATGAGAGTGAGTTCCTTAGAAAGATGATGTTTAAGATTTAGTAGATTTTAATTTTGAGCTGACTTTTTCAGCATTAGAAAAAAACATGGGAGAAATTAACACTGTCAGTTTGTTACTTGGATAATGTATAAAAAGCTTTCTGGATATGGAAAATAATGTGTTTTATTTTTATTTATTTGCCAAAATAACAACAGGTTTGCCCAATTATAAACAAGTCGATAAACTAATCTGCTTCTGTATTATCAAAATGATAATATTTGTGTTGAACAGAAAAATAAGCAGAGTTGAACATTTTCATATGTTCCTTTACATTAGGATTGTTCTATAAGTCAAGTGTCTACATGAAGTCCAAATGAATGTTATTTTAAACATTTTCTTTTATGGCTATTTATATTTTTAAAAATTGAGATCATGCCTGATTCTGGGAAATGACCTGAGTCCTCCATATTAAGGAAGAAAGAAATGTTTTAAAATAGATTAAAAAGTTTTTGATTAGTCTTTTTGCAGTGATAAAGGAAATGAAATTAATAAAATCTCAACCATTAGGTTTAAAAGCATAAGAATTTGATGCAGTTTCAGATTCACTTGTTTTATAGCTGATCTACTTTTGTTTCATTGCATATGAAAAATATCTCAAGCTGTTTAACTGGATTATTTAGTAAAACTGTTCAAAGAAGCATTATTTTTTGCTTTCCAGTAAGGATTTTTCTGTGCTGATTTGTGCTGTAATCTGTATGTATCCACATACATTTCATTTAAATGAATCAATGGACTTTCTATATATCATCCTTTCAGAGTCTTGATAAATTAATCTTGAGTTCTTCATAAAGGTCATACTTTCTGTTAGCTATATGTTTTAAAACTCACGGTAACACTTTAATATGTTACATAAATGGGAAATATATTTTATTAAATGCTGGTTATTCTGTCATATACACTCCCCTTCAATTTTAGCATCTTCATTTGTACTGGATACTTTTATTATTTGTGGGAATGCTTGCCTTCTAGAGTAAAACTCTTTATGTTCTGAAAGGAAATTAAGGAGGTTTGGCTCTTTTACTCCATTATTGCAATTAAGAATTTAGCATCATCAGTGCCAAGGGACAAAAGTGTTTCATTTGCCCTAGGGGGATAGGACAGTGATAAGATGATTTTTCGTCAAGGATCGTTGGGTCGTAATTAAGTTACATTCCTGGCTATTGCTTTCTGAAGGATGATTGGTAAATGACAGGCTTCATGTGCTTAGTGCGGACAGTGTGCAGTAGGGCTTTTTCTCCCTCTGTCAGAAAATCCTGTTGAGCCTGATAATGTAAATGTGGCATTTTATTCTGAACAAAAGAGCAGGGAAATGAGCTATCTTGTCTAATCATTCAGTTGTTTAACACCGACTTCCAGTTTAGACTCAATTGGCTGGAAAGCACTTGACATGTGAAGTTAGTTAGTGCTGTTCGGAATGCATGTTTGAGTAAATTTTAAAGTAAGTGACAGCTAAATTGTACCTAGGGAAATTACAAAGCCTTCAACACAGTTAATTTTTTGGGAAGGATTAGTTGTAATTGCAACACCAGTCTCCTTGAAGATTCCTCATTTATAGATGATGAACAGAAAAAAAACACACATTTTGCTCTTGCAAGGGTTGGTTCTCTTAACAGAATTTTTGTGAAGGTGATGGTTTCTCCTGAATTGATTTCTCTCCAAACTGCAGATGGGCTTAAAATTTATAGAACAGTTTGTTTTTAGAATATTACGGTGTTTTTCCCCCACCTTTAAAAATCCCCCCCCTCCCAAATCCTTCTTTTCTCTAGTAATTTCAGATTTTGAGAGCTTTTTAGTTAGTAAGCCCTTTAAGTAAATTGCCACTTCTGTAATAAAGCATTATTTTGGAGCACTTTATTTTTTTGGTTGTTAAAATTAAGTATACTCTGAAATTGAAAAGTTTACTATAACTAATGAGACTAAGTTTAAAGCTACTGATAGGTGAATAGATGGAGGTCACTGGTTGTTCTTGTTCTAAAAATTCAAGATCATATGAAAGACGTTTGTGATTATTAAAGTTATAGTTAGGAATTTGGGTCAGGAGTGCTTTGTTTCTTGGTACTTTTAAGTAGATATTTTTATGGTCAGTAAATACCTTATATGAATGTATGTCCAGTGTTTGTTTTTCTGTCAGGGACATTATATCATACTTTAATTTCATAACACGGACTAAAACCAGAGGTAATATCATGTTTGCCTTATGAGCTTAAAGTTTGCCTCTATGTAATAATGCAAAATTAAGTTTCTAGTGGTTTTATATAAGTTCAGATTTCCTTAAACAGTGAATTAGAGATTGCAAAAATGAATTTTTAATATAAGCTAAGTGAGTCTATTCATGTTAATAAATAAAACTTTCTTTTAAGTGATTGAATTACTTATTAGACTCAGGCTATTATGTGTATATGTTCTTAAAATTTAGGATTATAGAATCTTTCTTCTGTTCTGCCTTTATTTCATAGACTTACAGAATTTTGATAAAGGTTATATGAAGTTAATTTGCATCAGTCAAAATATTTTAAAATGATTGCCTACTATTTTGTAGCATATATAGTTTTATTCATGAAAATTACTTTATGCATTTCACTGAAATATTTTTTGGGATAGTCTAGTCCAGCCGTGGGCAAACTACGGCCCACAGGCCGGATCAGGCCCATTTGAAATGAATAAAACTATTGAAAAAAAGACCGTACCCTTTTATGTAATGATGTTTACTTTGAATTTATATTAGTTCACACAAACACTCCATCCATGCTTTTGTTCTGGCCCTCCAGTCCAGTTTAAGAACCCATTGTGGCCCTCGAGTCAAAAAGTTTGCCCACCCCTGGTCTAGTCATTGAACTATCACAGTGGAGTTTTTTAGAGATAATAGTAATTGGTTTTCTTTTAGTAGTTGAAGTTTGTGAAAGCAGTGGCTAAATTTTTTTATCAGAAATGGACTTTGTACACTTTGTGACCCATGTACTATCCTATATAACAAACAGCTAATATGCTAATTAGACCAAATAGCAGAACAACCTCCTGGATGACCTTCCTGACAAAGCCAGGCCTGCGAGGGCCAAGCCCTTTGCATGAATTTCGTGCATCCGGCCTGTATTATATATGTAAAAGTCTGAACACCTGAACTACCGATTGCTTTGACACGCACTGACCACCAGGAGGCAGACGCTCAACACAGGAGCTGCCCCCTGGTGGTCAGTGCACTCCCACAACGGGAGCTCTGCTCAGCTGACCGAACCGGCCCACCAGCCTGGCAGCAGCCACTCCCTCCCTCAGTAATGCTGTAGGTCCAATCTCCAGAGAATGGGCCAGGCACTGATGGACCAGCGCTGCCCAACAGCGCCGCTGGCCTCCTGGAAGTCAGCCTCGAGCATCGCGGCCACTTCCCCCAATAGATGCTCCGTAAGGAAGAAAGGATATAAAAGCGGCCTCCAGGTGGCTCCTGACAACCGCTCAAACATCCCCAGTGACAAGGGCATTCCTCTGCCCACTGGGAGGGCCGATCTCATCCCAGCCCCCACCCTCTCACCCTCCTAGGGACCCCACCCGTGCATGAATTCATGCAAAGGGCCCCTAGTTTGTATATAAAGTTTTAGGAATTATGCATGTAAGAGTGGGCAAAAGTAGGTTTATAGTTGTAAAACATAGAATACAATAATTAATAAACAATACAAGAATAAAACTGTTTTGTGTACCTCAAAATTGTAAACCTACTTTTGCCCACCCCTGATATACTGAAATAAGTATGGAATCAAAGTTTTGAATCCAGAAATAATGGTTATCCACAAGATTTCTTGAAAAGATTATTGTTATTTCAGAGTAGAATTTTAAATTCTAATCTTTTAAAGTGTACAAAGGAAATCACAATCATTTTGGGTCACAGAAACTAGAAGTATACTGATTGGTAGTGTTGTGCCCCACATTTTGGGTATAAAGTTTCCACCTTTTCCTTTTGATATTTTGCTGCTCTTACTGACTTTATCCTGCCTAATGAAAGTGGTCTTTTCAGGAGATTATTTTCTCTGCTGGTGTGAAACATTTGAGCTGATAAACCTAATAAGCTCAAATTCATAGAACCAACCTCATAAGTATTAGAACTGGGAGGGAACCCAAAGGTCCATCAGTTCAGCCATTGTGTTAATCTTTTCATCACCACTTCTAGGAATGTATCACATTGCTGCAGCTGAACTGCATGCAGTACTTATCAATAGGATTGAAATTCAGAAGTCTCATGAGTATACAGCTATTTTCATAGCAATGAGAATATAGAGACTTTTTCATTTCCATCACCACATTTCTAAGCTTTAATAGGAAAAATTAATAATGATATCAAATGATATGAAGAAGGGATACTTTTATCTCTTTTTAAAGGGACATGATCCAACCACAAGTCAGAATGTAGATAATAGGGACTGGAAAGAACAGACTAGTCATTAGTTCATTTATATCATAAGTACCGCTTGTTTAAAATGTTTCATTATAGATTTCTATTTCTTTTTGTTGGCAACCTGAGGGCAGTAACATTGGCATTTAAATTTCTAACAAACATATGAATTATTTACATTTTGATATTTTTGTCTTTTCTGTTGTTGTTCTGAGCATGGATAATCTTTAGAAGTATATATTTGGAGCCCAAAGACTATTAACATGTCTCTTTGATTGACAGAACAATTATTCATTCACTTATTGATAGGTTTGACCTAATGTAGGGGAAATACAATTGAGACATTACTACTCTAGTTTGGGAATTGATCTGAAAAAGCAAATCATACCACTTTTAAAAACTCAGTTATGTGTTAGCTTTTCTCTTAAAAATATTTTAGTAGTTTTCCATGAAAAGGAATTGTAGAAAGGTAGTAACTGAACTTGTGTCTGAAGCAAGGGGAAATACTGGTTACATAAAGCTTTATATCATATGTGGTAGCTACTGTAGCATTTCTCTTGTATGACAGTAATCTAGCCTGCAACATCTACTTGCAGTTTTGAAATTAACCTGTAATTTAGTCTTCACCCCAAATGACAAAAATTCAAATGACTCTGTGGGGTGCCAAAAGATGCACTGTAAACAGGGCCCAGTAAGAGGATAAGGTAGAGTTCCATCAGGACAGGCTCTTTTTCACCGTGTCAGTATTATTGCAGTGAAATTAACGCTTCTTCATGGTATTTTACTCTTTTAGTACAGCTTAAAATCTTAATCTAGATAAAATAGTAATTCAGTCTAGGGCAACATAACATTTGTATAATGGACCAAAATGTTAGGGCTTCAACAGAAAATTTAAAAAGGCTTTTTTCTTTTGAAAACTGTTACTTGTGTGAGAGAAAGGTGTTTTCTCCACTAATGTTGTCACTGTCATTAGTACTTTGGTCCATGTCTCTAACCATGCCTCTTTTTTTCTTTTTCTTTTTTTAAATACATTTCCTGCTTTCTTTAAAAAAAAATCTAATTTCTGATTCAAAACGGTATCACTGTATTAGGTTAACCAGACAACAGTGCTTTTACTAGTAATAGAGCATAATGTATAATGAGGCATACTCCACTGAAAGTGGGTGGCCCAGGGACCTGATGGCAGTACCTTTCTTCCTCTGTTAACCTAATAGTAATCGGTTAATCTCCAAGTGTCTTAATTTCCTCAGTTACTTAATAGTAAAGGATGGTGGCAGATAGAATTGGATCACATAATCTTTACAGCTTTCCTAAGGTCTTGCATATTTCTCATACTGTCATTTCCTTTTAAAGGAAAAAGTAGTTTTTGAGGACCCACAAGAATGTATTTTCACACTCTTGTTTAATGACTTTAATGAAAATATCTTTTTCTATTAATTTATTACTATATAAGAGAAGCTTTTACTTTATAATTGGAAATTATTTTTAAAAGCTTAGTCTCTAATGAAAAGCCTTTTAAGAGTTCTAGAATTCACTGACCATAAGGATATTCTAGTTTTAGCAACAGTAAATTTCTGTGTATATGAATTCTCAGGTTATTTTCTCCTTATCTGGAAAGATAGCAGTATGAAAAATATGATGGTAAAGTTGAAAGTGCTGGGAAATTCCTTGGTAGCTTTGATAGACATTTAATAAAGTGTCTCACCCTGGCTGAGTGGCTCAGTTGGTTGGAGAATTGTCCCATACACCTAAAGATTTGGGGTTCAATTTCTGGTTGGGGCACATACCTACGTTGTTGGCCCGATCATCTCCAGTCAGGGTTCATCCGGGAGGCAATCAATTGATCTATCTCTGTCTCTATCTCAACCTCTATCTCCCTCTCCCTCCCTACCTTCCTCCCACTCTCCCTCTTTCTCTAAAATCAATAAATATATCTTCAGCTGAGGATTAAAAAATACAAAAGTTTCCCAATTTGGAATTATTGAGAACCATAAACACATAAGTAGTTAGAAAAATATTTGATAGTAGTCTTTGTTTTTAGAAGTAATGTATTCTTAAAGTAATCTCAAAGAATGCCTTCATCTATTTGGAGTTTTTAAAAGTGCTATTTAGCAAGTGAAATAATAAAGATGAGGCAGGGAAAACTGGGAACTGCTAATGATGCCTGTACTCTGAACATTTATTTATATATAAGAAATATTTCTCTTTTTTTTTCATTTTGGCTTTGAGGTTTTCTGCCTTAAATAAAGCTCAGTCATATACATCTCATTCATTGTTAATATTTTTATGTTTCTAAGGGATGACTTACCCACTGCACTTGAAACCAGCATTGACTGCTATAACAAGTATAAAATATTACCAAGGATTCATGATGTCTTATGTAAACTGATAGAGAAAGGCGAGACTGATCTCATTCAGAAAGGTTAGTCATCTTTTAATATCTTGGTGTACTTGGTGTTTGTCCCCCCTCGTCGCTTATTTAATCTTCATGCATTGCTGTGAAGAGAAAATTAAACACGAAGGCAAGCACATCCAGAGATATGTTGTTACACTTCTAAATTAAAAAGAACAATATCAGATAGAATTTCAGTATTATAAATGTCCTTGATTTTAATAACTGTTCATTTTGAAAAGTAGCCCCTCTATTAATTTTTGTTCTACTTCTTGGCAATCTAGCTTTATTAGGATTTTTTACCTTTATTGTCACCAGTTTTCTTTGAAGCTAGTCTTAGGTACTTAATGTCATAAATGTATGTAGTTGAATAAGAAATGTGACAGAAAATAGGTTGACATAGATCTTTAAAATGTTCTAAATATTTGTTTTAAAGTTTTCTTGTTTTTTTTTCCAGAGCTTCAGTGATTTTATATTTCTCTTTATTTTTTCTTCTGATATGTTTTCTTTCCTCCCTAGCAATGGACTTTGTGAGCCAAGAACAAGGTGAAATGACAATGCTCTATGATCTCTTCTTTGCCTTCCTACAAACAGGAAATTACAAAGAAGCCAAGAAGATCATTGAGGTGCGATTTTAACTGCAGTATTCTAATAGTTCAGCTATTTAGAGTCTTAGGATGGGTTTAAAAATTTTAATCTTTAATTACACTTGTTCTAATTCATGTTAATATAATTCAATCCCAATAGTGGGACAGTAGTGGGGGGAAACTTGGCCAGCTTCTTTATCCTATATAATAAAACCCTAATATGCAAATCGACTGAACAGTGGAATGACCAGCAGAACAACCAGTCGCTATGACACACAGTGACCACCAGGAGGCAGATGCTCAACGCAGGAGCTGCCCCTGTGGCGGTCAGTGTGCTCCCACAGAGGGAGCACCGCTTAGCCAGATGCCGCCGCCGCCTCCACTGTAGGCAGGCAGTCACCCCCTAAGGGTGTCCCAGACTGCCAGAGGGCGCAGGCCGGGCTGAGAAGCATGTGCGCATGCCTCCCTCAAGTCTCCCCCCCACCCCCAGTGCATCGGGCCTCTAGTTATATATAATTACAGTTCAGAAAAGGCAGCCTAGTTGTATATTGAATTTGTTTCCTCACTTTGTTAAATTCACTGTTATATATCAAGATGATATTTGCATAAATCTTGGATTGTGGAACAGTTAAATTAAACTTCCAGGATTTGGGGGACCAGGGTGGGGAACCATGGCCAAGCTGGAATGGGTCATTTGCCAAGGAATTCTTTGTTCTTAAAAGCAGTGGAATTTAATTTGCTGCAGTCTATACTCAGATTTATTTGTAATGCTTGTCTACAAGTTAATCAGCCAAACAAGTGCTGTCTGCAACTGTTTGGCATTTAATTTAACATTTCTTCTCTCTTTTTTTCTTTAACTATGGTAAGCAGCTTATGGGAAATAGTAGGTGATAAACCTGACCTAATTGGGTTTCGTATATTTTATCTAAGTTTGAAATTTTGCTTACTGAAATCGATTAGTCAAAGAATGGGCAACTATAAAGTCTGTACAAATTGTGATTAATTTCACTACTAAACAAATCTGTGTCCCCTAAAAAACAAAACATTCCTCAGAAGATGGACACATATTTAATGTGATTATATAAATTTGTAAACACTGAAGTAATCATGTTTCCCTTAGATCATACTTTGCTATTACTTTGTGTCTTTTTCCAAAAGTGCCCATGATGGATGGTACACAGAGGTGGTGTTTGGACATCTTGTTTGTATATTGATGACTGCTTATCATTAAATTGGAAATGTATATACATACCCATAAAATTTTTAGTTTCTATTGATGCTTTTGAAAGAAGAGAAAAGTCTAGTATGGAAAAGGACTGTGAAATTAATTCAGGACTTCTCTTCTTGTCTGTCTTATACCTCAATTGATCCTCCTGCCAGAGGCACGTGGGACATGCTTTCTTGAACAGGTGTTTCTATAGCTCGAGTAGTTCATTTGTAATTTTTAGAAATGGTATAAATTCTTTCATTGTAAGTGCACAGTATGTATATCTGAAATTATGAGGGGAGCTGCCTGCCTGTTAAGTTCTGCTGCTCTGTATGCATGGTATCAGTATTAGCAGGACACTGATCAGAGTAGAAATTAAGCTCAGATATTCAGATAATAGTGATGAAAGGTTCTACAGTAGATAATCATGTGTCTCGGTATATAATACGCAGGACAAAATAGGAAGAGCCAAAGGTATAGAGTGAGTTCTCCTTTTGCCATCTACTTGCTAGTGTGATAATGGGCAAGTTACTAAACCTTTTTATGCTTTCTCATCTATAAAAGGGAATACAGAATGGGACAAAAATAGGTTTACAGTCCATATGGAAAATAATGCAATAATTAATAATACAAGAAAAATTGTTTCTCATACTCTAAACTGTAAACCTACTTTTGCCCCACCCTGTATACTATCTTTTTAAGGTTCAATCACATAATGTATGTAAAGCAGCTTGCCTGTTTCCTGGATTATGGCAGTAATCAATAATATTAATTTTCTTTGCTCCTGAAAGGTACAGATTGTATTTTCTTTTTTACTCCACATAATTCACAATATGATGCTTAGCATAAGGTACGTGCTTTTCGCATGAATAGGCAATGAGCAGGAATACTCTAAATCTTTGCCAATGTACAACATCACTGAGTGTAATCATTTAGGAATGGCTGTCTACTGATGACAGAGTAAGTTAGGACTATATCAGCATATGAAAGAATATTATAAACTAGAGGCCCAGTGCACAAAAATTTGTGCACTTGGGGGGTCCCTTAGTCCAGCCTGTGCCCTCTGGCAGTCTGGGACCGCTCTGGGGATGTCCACTTGCCCCTAGGGGATGTCCCTAGGGGTATCGAGCCTAAGCCAGCAGTCAGACATCCTTCTGGCAGCCCGGGAGCCCTTGGGGGATGTCCACTTGCCAGCGGGGAGCAGGCCTAAGCTGCAGTCGAACATCCTTACCGCTGTGCTGGTAGCCGTCAGCCTGGCTTGTGGCTGAGCAGAGCACCCCCTGTGGGAGTGCACTGACCAGCAGGGGACAGCTCCTGCATTGAGTGTCATAGTGACCAGTCATTCCCAGTCATTCTGCTGTTAGGGTCAATGTGCAGATTACCCTTTTATTATATAGGATACTGAGTAACGTTTTTATCATTCCCCAAAATGCAATAGTGTCTTACCAATGGGTTGATTCATTAGGGTTGAATTTCCAAAACAAAATATACAATGAAGTTTCTTTGATTTGAAGCACTGTGGTAGATAAGATAAACCAGTGATTAAAATGACCATAGATGCCCTAATGGGGTTGGCTCAGTGGATAGAGCATCAGCCTGCGGACTCAAGGGTCCCAGGTTCAATTCCAGTCAAGGGCATGTACCTTGGCTGTAGGCACATCCCCAGTGGGGGTGTGTGCAGGAGGCAGCTGATCAATGTTTCTCACTAATCGATGTTTCTAACTCTCTATCCCTCTCCCTTCCTCTCTGTAAAAAATCAATAAAAAATATTTTAAAAAATGACCATAGACTTATTTTTATACATGGATTATTGTGGGAGAGGATGGGATTATAGCTGTTACTTTGCTTTATGCTTTTCTGTATTTTCTGAGTTTTCTGTAATGACTATATATTTTTTTTTCTTATACTCAGAAAAAGTGTTTATTTTCTTCCCAAAAAAAGCGTGAGAGAAGTGAATTAGACTAAGATCAATCCTCAGTAACATATAAATGTTACTCAGTATTTATAATATTCTTTCATATGCTGATATAGTCCAGTTATCTGCACATATTAATCTCACGTTCAAGGAGATTAAAGCTGGCCCAGAATTTAAAAAAAAAGAAAAAAGGAGCGGTTGGGAGCTTCAGTCACCCCCAGCCTGAAAACAGCCCCCAGCCCCTCACCCAGGCTGGCCAGGGACCCCAGTGGGGATCCCCACCCTGATCCAGGACACCCTTCAGGGCAAACCAGCCGACACCCACCCGTGCGCCAGGCCTCTACCCTATATAGTAAAAGGGTAATATGCCTCCCAGCACCAGGATCAGCGGAGCTGCGAGGCCTCCCAGCACCGGGATCAGTGGAGATACATTTTTATGTTACTGGAATATAAGACTGAGAAGTGTTAACTGCTATAAATATAAATAGGTATGCAAGTTCAAGATTAGAACTTATTCTTTAGTAGGAAATTAGGTAAGATTTTCTGGAGGATATGGGGTATGAAGAGGAGACTGATGGGTGTGTTAGTACTTAACATGGGGAGTTTGAGAGGTTAGGAAGTATTAGAGCAAAGAAGTAGAAAAGGGAAGATCACTATATATTCTCTACCCCCCTCCCAGCTTTATTGAAATATACTTGACTAATAGTACTGTGTAAGTTTAAGGTGTACAGGGTATTGATTTGATATATTTATATATTATAAAATGATTACCACAGTAGCATTAGTTAATACCTCCATCACCTCATATAATTACCATTTCTTTTTTTTTAGTGCGAGCAATTAAGATCTGCTCTCTTAGAAACTTTTAAGTAAATAATACGGTATTGTTAACTATAAACACCATCCCTCAAACTGGATGTTTTTACCTTGACCAACATCTCCCCATTTCCCACACCCTTTGAGCCCCTGGCAACCACCATTCTACTTTCTGTTTCTAGGAGTTTGAATTTTTAAGATTCCACATATAAGTGATATCAACAGTTTTTGTCTTTCTCTAGTCTGACTTAGTTCACTTAGCATAATGCCTTGAAGGTCCATTCATGTTGTTGCAAATGACAGAATTTGTTTCTTTTTCTTGCATGTAATATATACCATATCTTTATACATTCATCATAGACACTTAATTTTTTTCCCATGTTTTAACTATGGTGAATAATACTGCAGTGAATATGGAACACAGAAATCTTTTGAGATCCTGATTTCATTTCTTTTGGATATATATCCAGAAGTGTGATTGCTGGATCATATTGTAGCTCTATTTTTAATCTTTTGAGCAGTCTTCATACTCTTTTTCCATTCCCACCAACAATGCACAAGGGTTCCCTTTTCTCCATATCCTTGCCAACACTCATCTTGTCTTTTTTTTGGAGAATGTGGAAGGGAGGGTGAGAGACAGAAACATTGATTGTTGTCTTCTTTATGACATCCAATCTAACAGATGTAAGGTAATAAATAACTCATTGTGGTTTTGATTTGCATTTCCCTGATGATTAGTGATGTTGAACATCTTTTCATGTACTTATTAATCATTTGTATTTCTTCTTTAGAAAAATGTTTATTCAGCTCCTCTGCCCATTTTTTAATTGGATTGTTTTTTGCTATTGAGATGTATGAATTCCTTAGATAGTTTGGATATTAGCCCCTTATTAGATATATGACTTGCAGATATTTTATCTCATTTTGTAGGTTGCTTTTTCATTTTGTTCATTTTTTTCTTCCACTACGCAGAAGCTTTTTAGTTTGATGTAGTCCCACTTGTTTATTTTTGTTGCTTCTGGTTTTGGTGTCTCATCCAAAAAATCATTGCTAAGACTAATATCAAGCTTTTCCCTATGTTGTCTTCTAGGAGTTTTATGGTTTCAGGTCTTGTAGTAAAATCTTAAATCCATTGTGAGTTATTTTTTGTGACTGGCATAAGATAGGAGTACAACCTCATTCTTCATGTGACTATCCAGTCTTCCCAATAACATTTATTAAAGAGGCTAGAGGTACACGAATCCGTGCATGGGTGGGGTCTCTTGGGGTGGCCTGCGGAGATCGGGCTCCAGCTCACACCCCCAGCCTCGCAGCCCCACAACCTCGCAGCCCCACCTGGCAACCCTGCCTTGACCTGACACCGCCCACTCACCTGCTCCACCATCCTGCCTGCAGGGCCATCAATCGGGGCTCCCCCTCCCCGCCCCCCACCATCTGCCGGGCAATTGGCAGGGTGATTGGGCTCCTGCTTGCACCCGCCTTGGCCTGGAGCTGCCCGCTCACCTGCTTCACCATCACACGGTGGTCCTGCTCTCATCAGGGCCCATTGGGGCCTGCAGTGCCTCCACTGCTGCCTGCTTGCTGCCTGCACTGCATCACCAATGCCCGCCATGTTCCGCACTGCCCCCTGGTGGTCAGCGCATGTCATAGTGAGCGGTCAAATTCTCAGGGACAATTTGCATATTAGGCTTTTATTATA